ACTTCATTTCATCTCTCTGTAACAATCACTTTGTAGCACATTAAAAATAAGAAAACTGAAGATTAGAGATTTGTGATAATGTCAGACATCTCTTACATGGCAAGACCAAAATTTATTTTTATCCAGCAGTAAAGATGGTCTTTTCCACTGACTAAAAAACCAAGTTTAAGATTTGGGGCTTAAAATAATAGGCATTGTTTTTGCAATTAGGTATACGTGAAGAAGAAAAGTGGTACTACAGACACTGTTTGCCAGAAGTCATAAAAGAAAACTGGGCTGCAGCCTTGAGTTAAAACAAACAAACCAAAAAGTGGAATAACTTCTATAAAGAAGGCAAATCGACATAAGGACCACAAGAACTGAATCTTAAGAGAGGCTGCTACAAAGCATATCCCTAGCTACAGAGGTTTATGTCACAGGAAAGAATGCATCGACTTGCATTCATCCCTATCTTTTTCCCCTTTCCACCCAGTCAGGGTCCATTAAACAAGGAATGAAAGTTATCAAAGTGTATTTACAACGTACCCCACCATGGACCAGTGAATTCAACTTGGCAATTTTCTGATGAAGGCACGATATAGAAAGAATGTGCAGATGCTCCTGCAAACTGATTTATAGAGCAGGGCTGATTTTGATCTTTGGGAAGATTAGCTGTTCTGCCTTGCTGGCTAAAGTGAGCTGCCTTAGAGATTAAATAAGGAACAAGTTCGAAAGGACTGTTTTATCTATTTCCTACCATCTGTATGAGTGCCTCTTGAAGGTTAAAGTCCACAGAGTTATATAGCTTAATTTTCAAATTGCAATAGTTTATAACATTATATATATAGCAATGGGATAATTCTAAAATGGATAATCCTAATCTGAAGGGTTACGAAATTTTTCATAAATGCACCCATTGGATTTTAGAGGAAGTATAGACTGTATTAAAAATAAATTCAGGAAAAAAGTGAAAGATGATTCTGACTCATTAAATATCAAGGTTATTTTTAGTATTAATATTACCACGTAACACAATTACAGCACTTATCTTGAAAATACCTATTGTGTATGTGCAAGTGTGTATGCAATATAGAATAGAGAATGTTAATTATATATAGGTGTGCACATGTGCACACATAGATTTTGGCTTCATTTTTCACAAGCAACTTAAAATTAATTGGGGCCATGAAGGGTGATAAGATCCCTATTGTTCTTAATCACACAATATATACTTGTATTTTATATCATGTGTGTATTCACACCATCCACCACTTCCCTCATGTTCTGTAAACATAATAAACTTCCTACTTTATACAGACAATAGTTCTCAATTGGCAAGTATCCTCTGTTTCCCATTCTCCCGCATATATTCCAGCTAGATCATTGCAAACTTATCTGCAAACATAAAATTCTCCTTCCTATTTGATTCTATCAAAAAACAAGGCATATTATCATAGATCCTTTCTTTCCATCTGCAATCAAGATCTCAAACAGGGTCATCTCTACCTCAGAGCATCTTTTTAATTCAGTTACCCACTCTTTAGTATCCTCAGTTTCTTGTCTCTTGATTTTTTATCCATCTACTGATGGATATCCATTTATCCATCAACATACTTTCCATCTCCCAACTTATAACCAAAATCTTCATTTTATGATGTTCTCATTGATTTACCTCCCTGGCTTTACTACAAAGCTTCTCAAAGAGGACAGTGTGTTTAAACTTTTTTCTCCCATTTCTTTGCCTCCCATACATGGTCTCTACACTACAGTAAATTTGTTCTTCTCTTCATTGTAGCAAATTGTGTTTCCTTTCAAGTAGGTAATACAAGTAACTTTTGAGATTCTAAAGAGACAAACTCCTGAGACAAATTTTCTGTCATCAATTTCTGTTGTTTTAGTCAGTAAGTCATGTCTGACTTTTTTGCAACCCCATGGATGACAGCCTGCCAGTCTCCTCTGTTCATCAGGTTTTCCAAGCAAGAATACTGGAGTCAGTTGTCATTTCCTTCAACAGAGGATCTTCCTGACACAGGAATCGAAGCATATCTCCTGCATTGGCATGTGGATTCTTTACCACTGAGCCACCAGGAAAGCCCACACAACATTCTAGCTAGGTTTAAAGGATGATAAAGGTGTGCCTGCATGCTCAGTCGCTCATTTGTGTCCAACTCTGAATCTTTACAACCCCATGGACTGTGGCCCGCCAGTCTCCTCCGTCCATGGAATTTTCCAGGCAAGAATACTGGAGTGGGTTGCTATTTTCTACTGCAAGGGATCTTCTCAACCCAAGGATGATACCTGAGTCTCCTGTGACTCCTGCATTGACAGGTGGGTTCTTTACCACTCAACCACCAGGGAAGCTTCATAACTGGTGTACCAGCTCAACAAAGATTTGGGAATAAGCTCTTAAAACCCTTCCTGACACAGAGGAAACACTCAACAAATGTGATGTTACTATCTATAGTGATGAAAATGAGATGCAGATGGTGAGATGAATTAACTTTTATAATCCTAAATGGTTTCATAGATCTAGAATCCTTTGTATTTGTAATGACTATATTCCTCCTATTCAGCCTACTTTGGGAATTTTCACTGATAAAATTCTCTTCTGTATTTTGATATTTTCTTCAAAGACTCTATTTCTTTCCTGCCTTCTGCTTGTTTCTTAAATGCGAGTGTTCCCTTGGGTTTCAGATTCATCTTTTGGAAAGAATTATTCATCCACTTACCTGGACTTATTTGAGTGGAGAAGCCATCTAAGGAATGAAAAGCAGACACTCCTTGTTTCATTTTTCAGTCTATAGTATTGTGTTGGCCAAAAAGTCCATTTGAGTTTTTCTTAACATTTCACAGAAAGCCCCAAACAAACTTTTTCTGGTGAATTCAATATATTCATTCATTATGCTAGTGCTTATTGAATGCCTATTCAATGTCAGAAAACATCCTAGACATTGGGAATGCAGCAACAAATTAAAAAACAACCTCATTCTCTTGTATCTTATATTAAAAATTCATTAGAAATAGAGACATCAAATGAGACCTTGTCACTTCCTGCTTAGACAGCTTCAGTGTTACCCAATAGTTCCCCATTGGGTAAAATTTAACAAAATTCTGTGTGCTTCCATATGCACTAGCTTCTTCACTCTCTCTGCTCCAGAATCAAGGATGCTCCTTAGGTCCTCACTGTGCCACATTCCACCCCACTCAGGTTCTCGTTACGTTTTCTTTCCCCGTCCTTTAATTCTCTCACCTCATTACCTCCTAAGTATGTTTTAGTTCTCTGTTCAACCACTGCTAACTAATCAGACAGGATTAAACACCCTAGATTTTGCCTTTCCAATAGCACTGTTTTACTCTCTGTCATAGATCACTTTTTATTATCCATCTAAGAATGCATGTGATATTTGATGGGTATCTCTCCACTTCCATAGGTGGGAAGCTCTATGTAGGCTGAGACTGACTTTTGCTCTGCTCAGGCTTTCCTGGCTCATGTAGAACACAATTATTGGCACATAAGAGACACTTAAAACTCAATATTTTTTAAAATAAAGATATGGGAATTGACTCTTTTTATCAACATTTTTTTATCCAAGTTTGACAAGTTCAAAAAGATTAAAATGAGAAGATATTTAGGTGAAGAATCAGTATTATATATAGACCAGTGATGACTATTTCTAAGTATTTGCACACTTTAAGCTCTGCTTCTCAGGCCCCTTTTGTGACATACAAAAGACATATTAATCTTCAATTTTAAATCAGCATAAAATTATGATTATTAGAAGAATAAATGAGATTTTATATAGTGCAAAGATAAATATATATACAAATACACACAGATAACTAGATAGATAGATAATATAATAAATGACAACTCGATTCAAATAGATAAATAGATGATTGATAGACAGACAGACTGATTGATTCACTTCACTCTTACTGTATGTATGCTCAGTTGCACAGCCATGTCTGACTCTTTGTGACCCCATGGACTATGGCCTGCCCGGCTCCCTTGTCCATGGGGCTTCTCCAGGCAAGAATACTGGAATGGGTTGCCATGCCTTCTTCCAGGGGATCTTCCCAATTCAGGGATAGAACCCAGGTTTCCCACACTGCAGATTCTTTACCATTTGAGCCATCAGAATATAATTTTTCAGCCTTTGTTCTCAACATACTATACAGTAGAATCATCCAGAGTACTTGTTAAAAAGACTAATTCCTCACTCCCAGTCTTTCTGAATCAAAATATAATGAAGGTAAGGCCTAGGGACTTGCATGTTACTAGATTTTCAAGCTGAAATTGTTAAACATTTAAACACTGAGACATACTGCTTTAGAAGTTACATTTAAAGTCTCCTTTGCTAACTGCCTGTGTTCTACTGCATTCTTACAAAGGCATGAGTATAGTGTTCTCTTAAAAGCAAAAGGCAATAGATTTAATCTGGTGACAAATTCTTAGGAATAAAACAGAATGAGGGTAATGAGAACGTAAATGACTTCACTAAAAGGTCCATGACCATCAAGCAGGAAAGTCTTATAATGATACTTTGATTAGCATAACGTAAAATAATGATATTAATAGAACTGGAATTCACGGTAGCTATGTTATCAGAAAACAAAAATAAAGGAATACATTCATAGTGTATTCTACATCTGACCTTCCCACCATACTAAAACATAGGGCTTCCCCGGTGGTCAGACAGTAAAGAATCTGCCTGCAGGAAGATCCCTTGGAGGAGGAAATAGCAACCCACTCAAGCATTCTTGACTGGAGAATCGCATGGATGGAAAAGCCTGGTGGGCTATAGTCCATGGGGTCGTGGAGTCAGACACAACTCAGCAACTAACACTTAAGAAATGATTTAAACAGTTAGACATAATCATAATTAAAATGTCATTACATATTAAAGAGGAAATACTTTGTCATTTTAATGACTTGAAAATATACATTATTAATATCTTGCCAAATTTGCATTCATGGAAAAATGAGTGAATTGCCTAGCTCACTAACAGTACTTTTTTACCTTTTTTAAGGAAAGGATCCCTTCTCTTGTCTCTTTGTCAGTGGAAATGGAGAATATGCCAACACCGTCACCATTAATGATGGAGTATGTCATGTCCGCATTTGAGCCAGTGTCTGCATCATTTGCCTTTATTTTCCCAACAGCTGAACCAACTTGAGCTGACTCAGGAACATACAGCTGATAGTGCTCTGAAAAAATATTTTATATTAAAATTATTTGATATAAAAATGGTCATAAAACAACAATCATTTCATAAGAAGACACTGAAATATTTAGGCCACACATCTATTTATGTTTACATCTATTTCATCAATGCTCACATTTCCCTATAGGCACTTATGAAATAGATAATAAGCATGATATACATGTTGTCACCAATTGTTTTATTGCAAAGCTAGAAACATCTATTACAGTAATTTATTTATTACATAAAGCTTCAAATAACTATATAAATAACAGAAACCTTTAATTAAAATGTAATTTTATAAAAATTTAAACCAATATTAAATTAATGAGATTTCATACTATACATAAATACAATTAGGCCATATAGATAGGTGAATGTGAAGCATCTATAAAAATAACTTCTGAGTTAATAATTTTTTTAGTTTTGGTATGATATTTCATTTTTTTTTGGTTAGTGCATCTGTAAGTGTGTGGAGTATTCTAATTTTCTTCTAAAGGTAAAATTGTATGCTTTAAAGTGCTAAATATTGTTGTTGTTCAGTCATTAAGTCATGTTCAACTCTTTGAGACTCCATGGACTACAGCATGCCAGGCTTCCCTGTCCTTCAGTATCTCCCAGAGATTGCTCAAGTCCATGTCCATTGAATTGGTGATGCCTTCCAACCATCTCATTCTCTGTCAATCATTCTCCTCCTGACCTCAATCTTTCCCACCATCAGGGCCTAATTCAATGAGTTGGCTCATTGCATCACATGGCCAAAGTACTGGAGCTTCAACTTCAGCACCAGTCCTTTCAACGAATATTTAGGGTTGATTTCATTTAGATTGACTGGTTTGGTCTGTCCAACAGGCTCTTGCTGTACAATAGGCTCTCAAGAGTCTTTTCCAGCACCTACATGAAGATACTGAAAATTGACTTATGTGTGAGTCTGTATGTGTCTGTTTGTTATTCAACAAAGATTTTTCCCAGTTCTATACATTTGTTTACACTATACTTGACTTAAAATATTATTTTTTAGTTCAACAGCCCTCACCAACATAAGAGTTCATGAGTAGAGCACCTTCTGTGAAACATGATCCCCTGATCTTAATCATGTGCTTTAACCAGGATCTGTCAAATTGCTAAAGGCACCATATTCCTCTTAACAAAGTTATTTGACCTGGGAAAAGCATGAGACCCACATTTTTATAGGACTCCACCATTCCTCTCAGTTGATGGATGCAAGGATAGGCAGGTGATTCACAATGATTCACAAGGAGATTCCATTCCCCAAAATGTTCAAACTGGAGCTCATCTCTCTTCTCTCTGATACATTGGAAGAGGCTTCTGACAATGCGTGTGCTTCCAAAGTTCATGTTGGCATAGCTAATCTAAGGTCTGTAATAATTTTTTAGAATCCTTAAAAATGTTACAGTATTCCTGAAAGTGAAAGTGTCAGTCACTTGGTCATATCTGACTCTTTGCAACCCCGTGGACTGTAGCCCGCCAGGCTCCTCTGTCCATGGGATTTTCGAGGCAAGAATACTGAAGTTGGAGCCATTCCCTTCTCCAGGAGATCTTCCTGACCCAGGGATTGAACCTGAGTGTCCTGTTTTGCATACACATTTTCTTTACCATCTGAGCCACCAGGGAAGCCCCAGGAAGCTACATATAAAATAGAACACTGTTCTGATGAAAAACATATAGAAAAGTTGCAAAATAAATTAGAACCAATTGCCCAAAACTTTTCGAGATAGGCTAGGAAGTCAACTTCCCGGTTGTGAAAGACTGTAAGTTCCAGGTATACTATAACTTTTCATAATTCAATAAGCCACCAAAGGACTTTTGGCTTGTGAAAATTAGGGTGATAACACTTGTAAAAAAAAAAAAAAGAGTCTTTGTACACAGAGATAAATAAGTAAATCACAGAATTATTATGATGGTATTATTACAAAGCACATTGTTTTAACAAAGGAAGTTGAAAAAATAGTACCAGTGGGTCATAAAAGAGGCATGGCTCAGAAAACCTTCAGGCAGTCTTTCAAGAGGAAACTTATCCTGGAAGAAGACGATTCAGTGCAAAGGAAGAAAGGATATTTGCTGCTAGATGGACCTTTGTTGACAAATAATGTCTCTGCTTTTTAATATGCTACCTAGATTGGTCATAACTTTTCTTACAAGGAGCAAGTGTCTTTTAATTTCATGGCTGCAGTCACCATCTGCAGTGATATAAATGCCCATAAGTAATTCCCTTTCCTCATATGTTGGCTAAATATGGGGACTCACTTCTAATAAATTGAACACAGCAAAATTAATGAGGTATCACTTCCAAGATGAGGTTATGAAAGCGCTGTGGTTTCTTTCATGAGTACTATTTCTCAAGTTCCCTTAGATTGCTTCCCTGGGGGAAACTATCTATGATGTTGTATTGAAGCCCTATGGAGGGTACCATAGGACAAGTGACTGAAAACTGGCAACAATGATGTCAGTAAGCTGGAAGCAAAAACCATCCCTGCCTCCCCCAGGAAAGCTTCTGAATAAGATCACCACCTCTGCTGCCAAACATACTGGGATCTAATAAACCTGAACCTGAAGCACCCAGCTGAGTCAAACCTAGATTCCTGATCTCCAGAAATCATGAGGTAATAAATATTGGTTGTATAAGCTCCTCAATTGGATGATTTGCAATACAGCAATAGATCATTGTCAGTGATTTGACAAATACAAGGGACCCTGTTTAGTTCTTTCCTTTCTGTGGTGCTTTGCATAATGTTTGGGGAAATTAAAAGCAAAATTGAAACAAAAATCCAAACAAGCAAACAAAAACATGATAAGCAGTTATTCTTGGAGCAAAGTTTTCAAGTGCCTTTAAATCTCCCAATTTTATTTTGTAAAGAAATAAATTATTGCTCTTATAGCCAGTGCTCAAGGTGAAATACTTATAATCAAATTCTCAGCACCAGACACCCATTTCATGGAAAACAATTTTCCCATGGACTGGTGGTGGAGGTTGGTTTGGGGATGATTCAAGTATTTTACATTTATTGAGCACCTGATTTCTAATGCTGCTGCTTATCTGACAGGAGGTACTGGTCCTCTAGCCAGAGTTTGGGGACCCCTGGGTTAGAGGATACCATGAAGTAGGTGCTTACTTAGTCATGTCTCTTTGCAACCCATGGACTGTATTCTGCCAAGCTCTTCTTTCCATGGGATTCCTAGGCAAGAATACTGGAGTGGGTTGCTATTTCCTCCTCCAGAGGATCTTCCCAACTCAGATATTGAACACATGCTGCCTGCTGCTCCTGCATTGCAGACAAACTCTTTACCACTGAGCCACCTCGGAAGCCCCTAGAAGACACCGTACATCCAGTAATTACACTCTTTGCTCTTTTTTTTTTTTTACCAAATGGAGTTGAAAATTTCTTTCCACATAAAGACCTACACATGGACTTTTATAACAGCTTTACTCATCACAGGTAAAACTTGGAAGTCATCATTTATTTTTGCTTTTATTGTCTATGTTTCGTGCCATAATCAAGAAATTTTTGCCAAGACCTATGTCAAGAGTCCTTTTCCCTCTGTTGTTCAATGGGTGTAAAATTTCAATCATACTTTCTCTTGTGTGTGCTCAATTATGTACGATTCTTTGGGGCCAGATGAATTGTATCCTATTATGCTCCCCTGTCCATAGGATTATCCCAGCTGGAGTGGGTTGTCATTTGCCACTTCAGAGAATCTTCCTGAGGCAGGGATTGAAACCGTGTCTCCTGCATTTTCTGGTGGACTCTTTACCACTGAGCCACTCAGCAAGCTACTGAATTATATTGGCTGATTTAATAATTCTAGAGACCTGCTGCATGACATGGTGCCTACAGTAAACAGTGTGGTATTGTGTACCTCAAAATATGGAACTGCAGCAGACTAAAAGAGTTCTGCACAGCGAAGCAGATAATTGACAGAATTAAAAGGCAATGCAGAGGATGCATGGAAATATTTGCAAGCTTCCAAAATATATAAATAACTCCTACAACTCAAGCAAAACAAAAACAGAAACAATAATGATTAGAAAAATGCACAAATGGTTTGAGCAGACATTTCTCAAAAAAAAAGACATAAAAATAGGCAACAGGTATATGAAAATATGCTCAACATCATTAATATCAGGGAAACGCAAATTAACACTTTAGTGAGAGATAACCTCAAACCTATTAGACTGGCTATTGTTGGCAAAACAGAAAACGAAAAGTGTTCGCACAGTTCTGGAGAAATTGAAATCCTTGGACACTCTTGGTGGGAAAGTAAAATGGTGTAGCAGCTATGTAAAAGAGTATGGAGCTCCTTGAAAAGAGTAAAAATAGAACTACAACATGATCCAGAAATCCTACTTCAGGGTACATAGTCCAAGGAATTGAAATGGCAATCTCAAAGAGATGCCTGTGTCTTTATGATATCTGCAGCATTATTCACAATGGCCAAGATAACAGAAACAACCTATGTCTATTTTATTCTTAAGTGAATAAAAATAATGAATAAAGAAATTGTCCAATATGATAAAAATATCAGCAACTTGGGAAACAGAACTATTGAATGTATATATGTTTATGTATATGATACATATGAATGTATATGTGTGTATGATATTCTAGTGAGATAATTATAGAATTAATAGAAGAGAAAATTTAAAATAAAACAGAGATATTATGATAAATGGATATGAACTCAATGAAGTTTAGATGTCTCTGACAACAAAGATCACTAAGAATATAAAAATAAAGTTACTGGGATTTAAATAATTTCTTTAAAAATTTTTTTTTATTTTTCATTTATTTTTATTAGTTGGAAATAATTTCAGGGAAACCAAGGTCTTTGGGATCCAGATGCTTTTAGATAGAAAGCATATTCTAAAAGGAGCTCAGGGCACTTCATGCTCAAATATTTTATTAATATTTCTGTTTTAACATTAATATTCACACGTTCCTTTGAAATTTTAATCCTAAATATATTTTTTAGGTTTTGTCACATTTTA